AATTTTATTACAACGTAACACGATGATTTTTCTAATTACCGTGTCGCAAACTGTCATTTTTCCGCCGCCCTTTCTACAACCAGTGATACTACCCCAACAAGGTCTATCATAGTTATAGTTGAGATAGGTATCATGTCTCCTTCGATATGTTTGAGTGCCTATCGTTTCGCAAGTACGCTCACACGAGTCCCAACGATCTATATCAGCTTCATTGATAACATACGTGTGGAAGAGCTCATCGAATTCCGCATAAGTCAGTCCTGAAAGTATAAAAAGTTTGCAGAAGTGGATGTAATTGTCATAAGGGGTAATGTAATTGTCAAACTACCTTTGATATGTCCGCCCTTAGGATCACATCGACGAATTGAGGTCGAAGCTATTTTCATTGCCTCTTTTGTGGATAGTAAATAATCTCGCGTTCTCATTGTGAATCGTGCTTCCAAGTCATTTACCTCGGCAGTATACGTCCCTGAATCGACATAAATAGGTAATAACAAGCAATCGTTCAGCCGGGTTTTTTGAACATCGAAAACATACCTTTCTCAAACCTTGGTCGTATTCCATACGCCCAAGCAGCCATAATAAATCCTCGTAATTCAGTGAGAGCAACGGTGTAATAAATTTGGAAAATTATCTGTTGGTGCGAGTTGCCTTCATCGCAAGTTATTAACTCATTTTCCTGAGATTATTCCTTACTGTTTAATTTGGTGAATTGTTAAACGACCATCCCGGTAAATCTGATCGGAACGTACCAATTCCTTAAGGTAATTTACAATATCTTCATTTGAATAAATGATGATTTTGAAACTATGAATTTTGATTAAAAAAATGTGAATTACTATGCCAAAAACGGCGAAAAGGTACGGAGATTCCGTTGATTTACCGTTTACAACATTTCAATTGCATTTTGAAAATTTCAATTTAAGTTGTCGACATCGCAATCCTTTCGATTATAGACTTCGTAAATTGTTTTCTACAACAAGCACTTGCTGTTAGCTTCTCCAGCATGCTAGAAAAATGATGGAAAAATTAACTTACTTTTTCATTCTTCAACATTGTGAGGAATAAACTGTCTCTAATGTGGGCTGTCCTAAGGGGAACAATCAAGCGATGGACCTGACTGAGCCGACCCTCTAAATCACGGTCCTGAATTCCAGTTGCGTAGGCGATGAACTCTTTCAATGTAGCGTTGTTGAAACTCTTATAATTTTTTGAATACTTGAGGTAGGTCTCCCACAAACGATCAACACTAACAATGATTTTGTGAAGCTCCATGAAAGTTGTATCAAGTTTTTGAATAAGTGTTATTCTGGAGACAAGGCTTTCCACTATAACATCCAATCTCTGATCCAAGCGGGATTCGAATCCATCAATCTTAGTCGATACTTCAGCCACCTGGTCCAATATCTTATCTATCCTCTCGCTAGTGTCGTCCGTAAATAATTCATATATATCGTATCCTTCTTTAATCTTACTTCCTACGTTGTAGCCAAACTTTGCCATTTTCCACAAATCACTTAGACTCGGCATGGCAAACGGTTCCACTTGGACTAGTGGCACCAATATTAGCAACCGAATTAGTAACATTTTGCTCAAGTGTTATGAACAAGCCGAAATGATGATTTGACAATATCCTACATTTCATGATGGTTTTATATAAAGCAGAGACCAGATAAGAACACCAAGACATAACATCAAAAATTGACATCTCTTTTTTAATCTACATTTTATCTTTTGCCACCAATTCT